GCACGCCGGGCCCTTCGGAAGGCAGCCGCGGAGGGGAGGGGTCCTCGGACCAGTGGTTCCTCCCGCCCGGCTTGGGCAGCCGGGGCCACCTGCTTTTCTTCCTCGAACCGCCCCCCGCCCCCGCTGCAGGGTCTCACCTTGATCGGCGAACTAATCTGGGGGGAGAGGGAGAGGGTGACTTCCCCCGGGCCCTCCCCGGAACGGGGCAGACGCATGGGGGACCCCCGAAAGGAAGGAGCGGAAGTCGCTCCAGGAGGCTCCGGGGCAGGTAGAGAGAGCCTGGCTGTGCACCATGGGGAATGCTTCGGGGAGCGGGGGGGCGATGTGGAAAGCTGCGTTGGAGAATCCCGCCTCCTCCCTCTTTGCTCTCCGGCGGGGGGGCGGGGGGAAGGAAAGGAGAGGCCCTTTTGCAGACCCCGCTCGGAACCGCTGGCGAAAGCAGCAAGCGGGCCGCGTGGTTCTTCGGGCCTTCGGGCTCTTTGGGCGTTTCGCTCGCGATGTCCTGGCAGGTAAAAGGCTAACCCGCCTTTCCTGGCCGCGGTGGAAGGCAACGGTTGAGGGGGCCCCCGAGAGGCTCTACTCGTGCCACTTCCGAGCCCGGAACCCATCCCTTTACAGATGCCTCTCCTTTCCTTCCAAGGAGGAGGGGAGGAGGCGCGGGCTCCCTTCTCTGAAGCAGGGGTCTCCAACCTTGGCCAACTCCCAGAGGTTGGGGACCCCAAAGGTTGGAGACCCCTGCTCTAAAGTATTGTATGCCGGGATTTGCAGGGGGTGTGAGCACGTGACATCCCCGTCCTCATCTCTGCTCGCCTCTCTCTCTCTCTCTCCCCTCCCCACAGCCACCATCTGTCCCACGCTGTCCTCCTCGTTTCTGCGGTGCAACTGTCCTGTAGGGGCGACCGAGTGCGGGGGGAGGGCGGGAAGAGCCCGACTCACCCCCGCTGCGGCAGCCTGACCTGAGCTGACCCTCGCGCAGCCTCCGCCTGAGTCAGCGGGCAGGGGAGGGGAGCGGAGGCTGCAGCTTGTCCCCTCCCGCCCGGCGTCAGGAGCACCTTCGGGGAGTTGGGGGGGGGGAGACTTCAGATTGGCCCCTGCAATTGCGGAGCCCTCCTCGCAGTCGGAGCCCGCCGGGCGGAGGGCAGCTGTGCGGTTCCCGGAAGAACGGGAAGCTGAGCTGAGCCGCCCAGGCCCAGGCGTCGGAGACTGCCGCGGGGGCAGGGTCGCCCGGTGGGGTGGGAGGGGGTTGTGCGCCTTTGTCCGGATCAACCGCAGGGAGACGGGGGGGGGAGGCTGAAGTAGAAACCCCACTTTCCCTGCCTGCCTGCCTGCCTGCCTTCCCAGGAGTTGTGATTCTGCCTCTCCGACCCACTTGGGCCCATGCAAGCAGCCCGGCTTCCCAGCGCTTTGCCCTGCCTTGAAAAGTCCCCCCGCTTCCCTCCCAAGAACCAGCAGCCCGTCAGTCGCTCCGCTCTTCTCCTTTCTCTCTCCCAGGCTTGCTTGAAGGTTGCTGGGGGAGAAGCGCCCCGGTCCAGTTCTGCCCTGAAGAGCGCGCAGAGGCCTCTTTTCGGTTGGCCAAGGGCCGCCGCAGCCTCGGGGCTCGCATTGACCAAGGTGCCTTCCGCGCCTTAGAAACGCCACTCTGTTTGGGGAGGCCTCCCTCGCTTCCTCCAGCCCCGGTCCAGCAGCAGACCCCCCAACTCTCCTCCTCCCACCCGCCACAGTTCAGGGGTTGGGGGAGCCCAAAGCCCAGCCTGGAGTCCGGTGACCCCGGCCGTTGCAGTCAATCCGCAATGATGTTCGACTCAGCGGCCGGAGCGGACTTGGGCCGAAAAGTTGGGCGGCGGAAACTGGAAGCGGCCTCGCAGGACGTGACCGAAATAAGATGCCCTTATAAAATGCCCCGGGGGGGGGGGGGGATTGCGGGAGCCCGGCAGGGCGTCTTGGCGGAGTCTGGAGGCTGTGGGCACCTTGGCTTCCGTTGGGGAGGGTCAGGGTTGGCATCCTCATAGACCAGGGGTCTCCAACCTTGAAGGCCACTTGAAGACCTGTGGACTCCAACTCCCAGAATTCTGGGAGTTCAAGTCTTAAAGTGGCCAGGGGGTTGGAGACCCCTATCCTAGACCGTTGGAGCGAGTGGACGATGTCCTCCTGCGCTGCCCCAACCAGGCGCTGGGGTCGGCAAGGGGCATTTTCCTCCCCATGCGCTCCTGGGATGTGGGGAGGGGAAGCGGAATCCCCGGGACCGAAGCGGTTTTGGCATTCTCGGTGGGGTGCGGGAGGGGAAAGAGGCGGCTTCGGGGCTCAGAGGCCGCCGGGTGACAGGCGCAAGTCCACTAGGATCCGTCGCTGGATTCCGCCGAGCTCTCTGGGGAGCTGCAGCGCCTCGGGGCCAGGGAGGTGGCCGGAGGGACGTCGGAGTTGGCTCAGACCGACGTGAGCTTGGACGGCTGGGCGGCAGAAGATCCCCCCCCCCCCCCCCCC